AACATGGCATGCATATTCTCCTGGACGGGTTCAATATTCCCCCTCCCGAACTCCGAAATAAAGCACCCCGCCCGACTATACACGAGATAACGAAAACAGGTAAACAGACCAACACAAAACGCACAAAACAGCGTGCATTTTGCACAACTGTCATGACTCGACATCCGGTATAGGGGGGGACGTTTGATCGAACCCAAGCACGCCTGTACTCAATCGACGACTAACTGGGTGTATGCACAACATTAGCAATAGCATACCCAAAAAAGGACGGCAGCACAGACAACACCTTCATGGCACCATTGCATTTCATTTCAGGAGAATACATCGAAACACACGTTGGAGAAAAAGAGGGAGCCAATTTCGATTGGACACAAAAAAAACGAGAAACAACGACATTAAAGACAACACCTTTATTACACCTCTGCATTTCATTTACGGCAAAGATAAAAAGAAACGAGAGAGAGAGATAACGAAATCGATGTCGTCATTTAAAAAAGGAAAGTGCATACTGCACTACATCGATACCAATTACAATTCAGATTTGACGGTATCATCCGTCCTGTCACACGATCGACTCCAACAACAAACGAGCCGAACAATGTAAAAAATAAAACAATTTTTACAAAAGAAAACTAATTTCACTGAAGGACTCATCCACCGAATCGGACCAGTGCCCAATTCCTTGTCCAGCACCGCCATTGGGGGAACGACACGTCGACCACGATGGCGATGGCTAAGCTAAGCTACATCGACGACGGAAAGACTATCACTTTCGGTCCGTGAAATTCCATGCAAGCGAATAGAGAGCACAACAGAGGCGACACTAAGTCTAACGTTTGCCGATGGCCTTCGCTATCTCCAGCAAGGCGTGACACATAAGCTTGCTGACTTCGTCTGACGCTGTGTAGTGCTTTTCTGCACTTCGATCTCCGCTTCCAGCGCCTCGCACTGCCGTATGGCGATGGAGCAATGACGTTTGTTGTTGCTTTCCATCGTTGACGTCATTAACGCCCCGTGCTTCTCCATGCACTCCGTCATTGCCTCAAAAGTTTTCTGCCTCGTGCTCTTCCTCTTGCAGAAACCGCCTGCGCCACCCGTCGTCTATGAAGAACCTTTCGTGGACCCGTCGTCGTCGTCGTCATGCTCTGCACCACCGTCCCCGTCGCCCACAGATTCAGGATCCGCAGAGGAGGCGGATGGCAGGCGCACACCACCCTTAGCGCCAGTGTCCGCGACGTTCTTCGGGTTTATGGTGTGGTTCTTCGCGGTCGACCCCAGTATCTCGTCGTAAACCGCACGATCCATATTGAAGTTGAAGTCCTTCGACATCCTGTCCTTCCCAGACAATTGGAAGAAGTCTTGTTTCTCGGATAGTCCTTGGAAATGATAAACCTTCTTGAACTGCTGCATCAGATTGTCCCACTTCTTCCCGCACCGATCGGCCTCTCTGTCGACGCCCACCTTCTTCAACCTCGTCGCCGCATCCAACCACTTCCATTCTCGCGGCTTCATCCGAGCGTACGCGTGGCCCATCCCCTGCAAATGCGCATCCTGATCACGTTTAGCCCGGATGAGGGCTATAATGTCGTCGACGGACCAGAAGTGACGACCTCCTTCACCATCGGTGTCACCTTCGGCATCGCTGCCCCTGCCCGCCGTCCTTTTGCCCCGACGACCATTACCAGCACACGACTTCGTCTTTCCCCCCCTCCCCCCCATAGCGGTCACCTGCTTCGACGACGAAATGTAGCCTGCGTCGTCCTCCCCACCTTCAGCGCCGTTGTCGTTCCAGTCGGGGTCGTGCGCGTCCCCCACTGCTTCCTCGCCGTCGTGCTCGTCTTCCCCAACACGCAATCGCTGCACCCCACGAGTTATGGACTCCTCCCGCACCGACCTCATTAACCGTCACTGTTCTGCCCACACCTCCCTTCCGTCACGTGCGTCACCAACATCAGCAACGGCAGGTGCCGTTTCCCTACACTCACTAAGACGACGACCTGCACTCGAACCGGCGGACAGGGGAGACGGAGACTGCATCCACTGGGGGCGAGCGGAGGCACCCCCACACACAGACGGCGACCGAAATTGCTGCCTAGGAGGATCCTTGTTGTTCCCCGAAGCCTCCCGCAGCGGCGCTGGAGACCTGGGTGATCGCTGAACAGCCGTCACGTCGCTGCCATCGTCGTCGGGAGGGGGGTTTACGACGACCGTTCGAGAGACGGCTGCCGACCTCCCGCTGCCGAGTCCAAACGACAGATTCACGCCGCCATCTCCATCGGTGTCGCTGAGCCCTTGCTGGAGGAGCTCGGTGTACGACTGCCCTTTACCACCGTCGCGGCTTCCAAACAGCTCTGTAGCCGCCCACTCCTGGGTGGATCCGCTTCCCAGTGGCACGGTCCGTGACCGTCTATCGTTCGTCCGTGTCAGGCAGAGGTTGCAAGTGCGGTGGCAGGTGCGCGTGACCGGTCCGCTCCGACGGCCTTCGACTATTCGACGGGCTGTGCCCGGACCACCGCCCACCGCACTCCCCTGCGGACCCACTGATCGCCTTCCGGCCCTCCATTCTGTCGTTGCTCTTCACACACCTCCTTCTGCGGCCACGTCGCGGAAGACCGCCGAGGATGCACACGTGGAAGACAACCAGGAGGAGGAGCAATAGGACGACCAGCAGCAGCAGCGGCAGCCTCCGAAAGACGTCGGCCATGAAAAGCACGTGGATGACAGTGCCAGCTAGTAGACAACGGGGGATCTATCACGTAACGGCGACGGACACCGCTGCAAACGCGTGACCGCAACGAACGACAAAAGTACGGTAACGCATTCCGTTTGTGAACACATTGCGCAATCGCCCGGCCGGGGGACGGTTCAAATATTCGAGTCTTGTGACCGTTGGGCGCCTTCCCGCTCGGGGACAAGGGCGGCGACGCAAGAAAGCCGCTTTTCGACGTCGGGGAAGAGACCGGGCCGCAAAAGGGGACCGCTGGCGCACTCTTCCATGACGCCGACCGTTGCCGATCGAAGATGTCCGTCCACGGGCGCCAGGAACAACACTGGTACAGACGGCCGTCGCAAAATGTCGTCGAGAGAGCTGCCGACGACGTCCGGATTCTTCCGGATGCTCGACCTCCGAGGGACCTCGGGAGGTCCCTTGGGGAACGCGTAGAAATGGCTGTGGAATGTTTTCACATTTTTTTTTCAATTTCTTCCCCGAGGATAAGTGGAACCATCATTTCCTCGGGGGATTTACGCGCCCGAGGAGCGTGGAACGAGCCCCATATTGCCTTGGGCACTGGGCCCTGTCTTAGAATAAAATTTTTCATTTATTGAGAAAAAAACAAAAGCTGCCAAGGCGAGGGCCCCTTCGGTCCCACTACGGTAGCAAAGAGGACTGAATCAAGGGCCTGAATCTGGATGGATGCAGAAAAGCAAATCAGACCCGATTTCTGCACTTGTCCACAACGATGTCCAGATTCAGGTGCTCAATCCAATCCCCTTTGCACGTGGGATCTTGTGCCCCGGGGATATTCCATTCAGGCCGCTAATCAGGCAGACAAAGACAATATGCAAGGCCGTCCCGTCCAGACTCCACAGGTGATTAGCGAAATGACAGAACTCCAGAATCCAGATTGCAAAATCACAATGAAAGCCACATAGTCGAATGCTATCCAGAAAGCAAAAATGCCCTTACTGATATGACACCCGATGGAGAACCAACCAGTTGACGTCAGCAGCAACAGCCGAAGTACATGCAGATGTTCAGCATGCAGACCATGGCGAAGACCAGGTACATGCCCTCACATCCTCATCCTCATCTCTCTCTCTCTCTCTCTCTCTCTCTCTCTCTCTCTCTCTCGTCGTCTTCTTCACCCACTTCTCCCCTCACACAAAGACCACCACCGTTCATCGGTGACCATGTCCAAACCCGAGCCCGGCTATGGCGGGTGGGCTATGGCGCTGCCAGTTGCAGCGCCCTACGTCCTCGCGAGCGCGTTCGCGTGCGCAAGCACCTCCGCTAGCGCGCACAGCAAGCGGCGCACCAGAGCACCACGCTCCAGCATCCAGCAGCACGGCCGCTTGCACAAGCAAGTGCCGGTATGCCTGCGCCCTACCCCGTGCCCTCTTGGCGGGGGGCACTTTGCTAACTTTGCTAAATGGAAAGCGCTCGCAGAGTCGCAGCTTTGCTGCCTGGATGGGACGCGCGTGTGCCCTCTACGGGTAGCCGGGAGTTGGGACAAAGTGTCTGCGTCCAGGCCCGTTCGTTCAGACAGTGGCCGCTGGCCTGGGACCGAATTGGTTAGGATTGCCCAACTACCCAAAGGTGCGGTGTTCCCCGCTTTCTTTTTCTTTTCTTTCCTTCGTGAGGGTCCTGTAAAAAAATTTGCGCAAGCTGCTTAGTGTGCTCACCCCACAGTATTCTTGATTGAAAAATAAATAAATAAATAAATAAATAAATAAATAAATAAATAAATGCGATAGATATATATAGATGTATATATATATTTTTTGGTGTAAGCTGCTTAGTGTGCTCACCCCACGGTATTCTTTAGTGAAAGGCGAATTAATAATTTCGCCAGATGCGGTGAGGTGGGTGGGCACCCAGCTGGAAAAGCCTGGAACGCTCACGAATATTTCACGAATGTTTCACGAATATTTCACGAATGTTTCACGAATATTTCACGATTATTTCACGAACATTTCACGACTATTTCACGAATATTTGACGAGTATTTGACGAATATTCCACGAATATTCCACGAATATTTCACGAATATTTCACGAATATTTCACGAATATTTCACGAATATTTCAGATTCTCACGAGCAAGGCGGAGCGGATGTAACCAACTGAAGCGTGTCAACTGTCTGGCGCCCCACCAAGATTTGCAGAAATTTTGCCGAATTCAGGGGGCTTGTTGAGATTTAGGGGGGCCCGTCTTCACTCAGGACGGGGACGTGCCTGCTGCAGGGGTCTTATGCAGGTATGTCGAGGGGTGACATTCCTCGCGAATATATCGCGCATCAACTGTTTAAGTACCAAATGAGTTTTTTTTTTTTTTTTTTTTTTTGTTTCTGTTATAAACGCTGCAAAAAAAAAAAAGTATCCCTCAAAGCTGAGGTGCAGAAAAAAGTGAATTTTTTTTTTTGAAAGATGAGGTGCAGAAAAAAAAAAAAGGATTACATGCATAAATGGAGACAACGGTCCAAATGGGAAAAACGAGGGAAAAAAAAGAAAAGCTGAGGTG